GACCTCAACAGAAATTAGACAGGTTGTTAAAGATGAGTAGGGTATCTTAATTGGTCAACATTTAAAAGGACATTGACCTAACAGAGGTTAGGGGCCTGATCCTCCACATGGTTTCATGCCAGTGACACTTTGCTGAGCTCAGTATAATTGTACCAGTGTATCAGTGTCATAGGTGCATGGGGTGTATTATGTCCCCAACTTTTTTACAGTCCCTGCAGGAGTGTCAATTTTAACACTAGGCTGAAGAGCTCTGCTTTTTTGCTGGAGGGAAACCTGTACCTCCCATCGTCCTGATGTGAGTCCTGGTTTTTAGTATCACTGTCTCTTGCTGTGAGTCTTTCAGTAAATCCAAAGAAACTTGAACTCAAAGAGACGTATCCCTCTTGGAAACTATGCAACCAACAGGAGTTTGCAAAGACACAGGACAGGATTTTTAAAATAAAACAACTTTTATTAGTCAACTGGAATGTAGTATTATAGGCTCCTTAGGTTAGGATGGAAAAGCAAAGCTTATACATGGCACTTTTACAGGTTCTTTGGGGGAGGGGGGAGCACTTTAATTAGAGTGGGTTGAGAGCCACTCTAATTAAAGTGCTGTGATGTCTCGTGTATCAGCATCCCTGCGCTTAAAAATGGTGGCAGGGGCATTTGAACTAAAGCTCGTTTGATGAGCTTTAGATAAAGCATGCCTGCCATCACTTTTAAGTGTGAGGATGCTGATACATGAGATGCAGGAGGCTGCTGGAGCGTGGTAATTGCCATACTCTGACGTGCTGGAATTCCAGCGCATTGGAGCAGCCTTTGTGTTCATGTATAGGCAGTCTGAGTGCCCATGTTGTCAGTATTCCCTGCCTCTCTGGCCACTAGCATCAAGAACTCCATCTGCCTCCTGGCACTGACCATCAATCACAAAGTTGTTTTCAGAGTGTCCTGCCTCCTCAGTTTATTCTTTCCAGGCCTAGTCATAGTATTTTAAACATATTTTGCTTCCCTTCACCAGTTAGTTCTGAAAAGTGGATGGTCAGTAGCTGCTCTTCCATTGAATTTCTAAAGTTACTCCTTTACCTGGTGGCAGTTCTTGACAGTTCTTTCACAAATGTCTGTGTGACCAACCCCCATCTTTCATTCCCTGTCCTAAAGAAGAAATAAACCTGTGCAGTCCTAGTAGGTCTTCCTAGTTTAACTTAAACCAGAGTTCCCCAGCATCCCAAATGCTTTGCAGCCCTGGACTGGGCTGTCTGCTCCAGAGCAGGGCTGGCCCCACCCCTCTGCTCCCTAGCTGGAGCTCTGGCAGAGACTGCAGGTACAGCATGGTCTACCTGGAGGTCCAGCAGCATCTGCTTGGCTTCCCCCTGCCCCCCCCTCCCCTGCCACCACTTCCTGTTCAGGCAGGGTTTCCTGCCCTCTCCTTTCCCAGAGCATGGACCATAGCCAGCATGTGGTATGCTAGCTAATGCTTAGAGGTGTCTGTGTAAGGCAGACAGGACAGTGTCTGCTTAGGGCTTTTTGGAGCTAATCAACAGGTCAGCTGGTAATGTCATTTTTCTCCTTCCTTGAGAAAAGCTGTTTAAGAAGAATTTGAACTAATGAGAGAGGCTTTTGTTTTCTTGGTGGGGTGCTAAACACTGTATTATCAACTCCCTGCTGGCTCCCTCACTGGTCAGGAGCAGTGGGGGGAAGGGGGTGCTCCCTAATTGGAGCATCCTGCTGAGGCCTGGCCATGCCCTCCCTCACTCAGCACTGTGGAAAGGAGGGCTCACCCTAGTGCCCTCCAGTTTCTAGCCTTAGCTACTGCAGGCATGTGTCTGCATTTTCTCAGTCCAGAGGGAATGTCTGTGCACTTACAAACTGGTTCAGCCTAGCCAGGTTAGACTGACTTGCAAAGATTGAATCAATTCAGGCTCGGGCTTTTTGAATGACTGGCCCTAGCCAATATGATAGTGTATAGGGAAACTGAGCCATGCATACTTTTAATTAAAAAATAATTTAGGAATTTCCCAGGCAACTCAGAGGAAGGAAAACTATAGTTTTGAACCAAGGGTGTCAGGCTGGGAGAGCCAGAGTGTAAAGTTCACTCAGTAGATGTGAACAGATATCTGTGTCAAATGTATGTAAGTTGCCAACCCCTAAATAGGGAATAGTAAGAAAGAAGATACTAAAAATACAAGATTTCTCCACATTCTCTACAATCAGTGTTTATAGGATTGAGAAACAGATCTTATTATAAGCACAGATTAGGGAAACTAGTTGTAAAAATATGTAATACCAGATGATTAAACTAGAAAAAATGTTACAATCAAATTCACTTTTCACTACAACTTGCGTTTGGTTACTTGTTCTTCTTCATGAAACTTGGTCAGTGAAAATAGACTGGTCTTCCAAAGTTTTACTTAATTTTCTTTGACTCCTGATTTCCCTTCACACCTTTTGTTTTGTCTATTTAGAACTTAAATTCTTTGGGACAGAAGTTATGTTTCACTTCTGCATGTCTGGTCCCTACCATAATGCAGCCATGATCTTCTAATAGCATTCTTTTCTCTCTTTTCTGCACAGGCTGCCATAGTCAGTCTTATAGCACTGAGGATGATGTTTGTATTTAAAGGAAATACACACACTGCTTTAAATTAAGCTTCTTTAAAAAAATTACTGACAATTCAGAACGGGCCAAATTCTCTCTTGTTGTAATTTCTGTGAAGACCAATGTTAAAATTAACAAGCAAACAAGCAGAAACAAAACCCCAGAGCAAAACAAAAAGGTCATAGATCAAGCTGTTTTCTGTAAGGTACAACTGACATAATAAAATGCGGCTTTATTTTTCAAGGTTATTTTATTCTCTTCATTCTTAGTCTTCAGAACTAGAGTTGGACCAAATCTTTAGAGTCCAAATATGCAAGTCCCAACTTCTCAAGAGTCTGAGTAGTTCAAAATTAGGGTTTTTGATTTGTCTCATTATGAAGGATCCAGCTGCAAAGTTCAAATCAGGAGGCAAACTTTCATACAGTTCAGAGGTATTTGGACATGTATGTAAAAGAAACTTTTTTTTAAAGGGGGAAAGCTCACATTTAAAAAACCTTAGATTAAAATATCTATCCTCCAAATAAACATCACTCTCAGTAGAATTACACAAAGGATGAATTCGACCCACTAGCCTGTCAGCTTTTACTAATCATTAAATGCATTGGATTTTGGAAAACCTTTTCTTCCTCTGTAGGAAAAACTAAATTTTGGGCTTAAAGCACACTTGACAGTGTCACTTTAGGCCAAATATTTAACATTCAGAGATTTACAATTAATTTTAGTCTTGCAGCAGGATGGAAACTGAATTAGTCTCCAGCTAGGGCTCCTATCCTGGTTGCTGTAGTTTATTCTTTTGAGGTTTTGTTAATACAGAATGGCTGGTAACCCTCATATTTCATTGTTGGGAGGAATTCTCAGGACAAAGAGAACCTATGCAATGGGTGACAGCTTGTTTTTATCCGGCTTGTATTCTTTTTCCTATAAAGTCCTTAGTTTTACTGAGCATCCCTGGTTTAATATGGGAAGGAATTTGACGTAGTACTTCTGGCTGTCAGACATTTGTAAGAACTGTTAATTTTTGATCAGTTTGAGTCTCCTGGTTGCTAACGTTGATTACAGAAGTGTACAAGCAAGCCAACTTTAATTACAGCTTTTAGTAAGCTTTCATGTCTTCCCAGTCAGTCTTCTTGTTACAGTCCATGCAACTTTTCTTTGCTTCTCTTCCCTTCCCTTCTGGAAAAAGGGGCCTGGGATTTGTCTCCTTGGGTTCTGTGTACAAAGAACTCTCTCTGTATGTAGATCTTTGCCCTGCATGGTCTCTACATCCCTAGCACCCTTATTGACACTATGCAGATGCCCTTCTCCTTTAGCTCAGCAAGCAAGGGGCCACCCCAGGTGCTGAGTCTGAGGCTAGTGGTCAGTGGAGGAGGATGGGGCAGTGAGGGATCACATTTGCCATGCACATTGTCTGCTGCAGGAAACAACCGGACAATCTTCAAAAAAGCTGATGAAGTCTGAGGCTGTATTAACTCTTGTGTGAAGCCCTTTTGTGCTGTGGGAATCTCCCTTCCTTCTCTTCCCCCACTTAGGGAAAATGCTAAGAGTCAGTTGCTAGCGCCTTGCTGAGGAAGAAGTTCCAGAGGGTGGTAGGAGGACGGTGGATGTTGGGGCCCCACCACTGGGGCTCATTCCATGGACAGGGGTGTTTTGGTGATGGACTGGGGAATGATCTGATGGGTAGTGGAATGATTTGATGGAAAGCTCATAAAAGAAACCTTGTGGGACTTTCCAAATGTGGAAAGCTGAGAAGGGGAAAGCTTTCCATCCTGACCTCTGCAGTGATAACCCTGTGCCTTTATGGATGTACGAATATGTTTCTTTTATATAATTCTATATGAAGGACCCGAAAACACATTACAAACTATGGGCTAACAAGCCATACTCTTAGTGTATGGTAATACTTAACTCTTTCTTTCCCTTGACCCTTACAAGGACCACAGACAGTCACCCTTGCTCAGGGGATACACATCTCCAGACATTCAGTGTGTGCCCTGCCTGGAAGCTTGAGTAGAGTGCTTTTAAAATAGGACAGCTTTTTTAAAGTTTCTCAGTTGTTCAAAGCACATTGTGGAGGTTGCCATAACATTAGAAACAAAACTATCGGTTTTCTTTCTGGGCTGGCCATGCTAGAAATAAAGTGCTTTGTCTTTCATTACCCAGAGTCATCTCGTTCCCTGACTGATGTGTCTCATTCCCCCAATGTTTACTCTTTTCATGACTCTTTGCACATCATATGATTGAGGAATGTCCTCTGCCAGAAAGCTGTTCAGGTTAATTCATGTATTTGGGGTGAATACATGAATTAGCAAGAATTAAGCTATTGATTCATTTTTAAATCTACCCTCTGTCCCCTTCTTTCCTTGCCTTTTTCAGGAAGGTCAGAGAAATCTCTCTTACTCTCTGCTCTCTCCCCCTTTGTCAGACTTGGGGACCAGTTCTACAAAGAAGCCATCGAACACTGCCGCAGCTACAACTCCCGGCTCTGTGCTGAGCGCAGCGTCCGCCTTCCCTTCCTGGATTCACAGACTGGGGTGGCTCAGAACAATTGCTATATTTGGATGGAGAAGAGGCACCGGGGACCAGGTAGGAGCATTCTGTGTGTGCATGCATGTGCAGATAGTAGGCCATTTATCCCTCGTGGGGTTTAATTACTAGAAACTCAAACTGTTAAGGGCCACATGCAGGAGAAACTGCCTAAACCTCCCTGCCTGAAGGGATTCCCTTTGGTAACTACAGAGAGTGGATCCTAATTATTCTTTCTCTCTATCAATAGATGTGATTGTTTGATGTGAAAGATTCTAAAGCTGCATCATCATATCTATTTTATTCCTATTGATTTGAGTCCATGGAAAAAAAGAAGAACCTCTACCCTAGAGAGCACTGGAAATATTCTTATAAGAGGTGGAGACAGTTTCTTCTATTATTGCTGGGATATTGAGAATGAAGAGCTTTATTGTTCAATAGGAAATATAAAATTGAGGAGGTATCATTTTTTAAAATCTACATTGTTCCAGTGATTGGAGTAGGGGATCAGGATACAAATCTCAGTCCTAGTTTCAGTTCTGTCTTGGTTATCTGTCTTTGCCAGACTGTTTTGCAGAAGAGCTCTGTAGCTGATGCTGAACCCCCAACATGGGTACAGCTCTGGCAGCAGAGCTTCTGATGTTTGGGGGAGCAGTTTGGGGGAGCAGCAGTATGTTGCTGCTGCCAGAACTGTGTTCACACTAGGAAGACCCACCATGGTAGTATGGCTGCCATAGTTAAAGCAGTAGGAACAGCAGCAGTTCCTGTTGTGCAGACAGCCTGTGTCTCAGTTTCCCCATCTGTACAAAGAAGATGATAGCTGTATCTTCACATAAATGTTGAGGACTAAAGGCCTGATTGAAAGTGCATTGAAGTCAATGGAAAGATGCATTATTTCAGCAGCCCAGGGATCAGGATCTAACATGTTAATGTTTGTGATGCAGCTTGAAATCCTGTGGAGGCGGCAAAGTATACTCTGGCTCAAACCCTGAGGGTCTCACTTAGACAAAATTCCCAGTGAAATCAGTGGAAATTCTGGCACAGTAAAGGACCTTTATTTGTTGGGAAGATAGGTTGTCTGACATGCTGATCTCTGCCAAATTATTTTCCCCCCAATATAGCACAGGGAGAATGTGTTGGGGTTGGCTGATGGTCTTCATGGAGCTCATATGTCTGTGTGCAGACACACACATTGTCTCCTTATAAATGGATATCAGCAGTCTCCATCACTCATTCCAGAGGTGTGGGATAGTGTGGCTGACCTCTCTGAGGTATGGCTTCTCCCAGAGACCTACTGATAAAGTGCTCCTTTCACGCTGTCAAGTGGAAAGACCAGGATTTTCATTGGCCTTTTAACAATGCATGGTTTCTTGAACTGTGTACCCATCATGTATACTAGCAGTAAGAGTAGGATTGGGCCCTAACTAGTCAAACCTTACAAAACCCCTGTGAAGTGAGTAAGGGGATCTATCTATAGGGTATCGCATCACCCACTACTGACATGCAGAACACTGCCATTCCTGGTGTAGGATTCAATAACTGCTTTAGCAATGCAGAACATCACTAACCAATAGTTTTGAACAAATTCTAAGGAATCTCTTGTGCTATTAGAAGTGCTGGGAGAATGTGGGGTGTCACAACATAGTCACATGGTTTGAGACTTTCCTGAGACTAGAATTAAACCTTCATTTACAAGAAGTCTCATAGGATCTCTCATGGGCACAGTTGGTTTTTGTTTCATCTGGAAATTCTCTATTCCAGAGGGTTTATTCTTTGGCAAAACTAACATTTTCCCCCTCTTTTTGCAAATAAATTTACCCAAGGAATTTCTGTTCTTGCAGTGTCTGGTTATGAGTGAGGTGCTGCTGTCTTTATCCATTTGAACTCAGTCATAAGCAGGTAGTCATTCAGTAGCTATACAAGCCATGTTCTGGGAGGACTTACCAGGCATATGCTACCAGGCAAGTCTTATACAGGACACACAAAGGCATCTGTGTTTATGGGAGGACTTGCTGGCTAGGGTTTCACACATGAATAAGATCCAGGAGATCTGGGTTTGTTTCCCAGCTCTGTTACTTATTGTGCTACCATAGGCAAACCTAGTTGTCTTATTTGTACTTTGGCCCCAGTCACCCCTTTAGTTTGTGAATCTGTAAAATGGGGACAACAACTGTTCCTTTTCTTGCTGGGCTGTGGTGAGGACCAGTTAAAAGTTAGGGCATGCTTTAACAAGAATGTAAAACGGATCAAGCACCCTATGTCTGCATCAGCTACCAAGTCGGAGACCTTTTTATTTTAAATTAAAATAATTTAGAGAAAAAGAAGTAGCTCTTTTTCCCCATTACCATTTGGCTGCTTAATTTCTTTAATCTCATTTCGTACCCCTTTGGGCATCTCTGAGCCATCCATCTCTTGTAGCTCTGATGTGATGGGACATAGTAGTATAAGTGTACGTGTTTTCAAGCCACACAGTGTACTCCTGAACCCAATGAAAATTCTCCACTGACTAGGCAGACGCTCAGTTTTTATGTGCCTCTGTTGTATTTACTTTCCTCTGTCCATACCCTGAAGGACTGTTTGGGCAAGAAAAAAGAAAAGATAAAGAACCTCTTTTCACAAGTTCAAGGTTTAATAGAGGGAGTAGAGTCAGGATCCTAATGCATAAACTTGCTTTCTTACAGTTCTCTTTCTTAAAGGAATTAGAAGGCTGCTTCTCATGACAAATAGTGCAGGGTTAATTTCACACCATGCTGCACATAACTCTCCCTTTTTCCCCTCGTTCCCCAGCCTTTCACACAAGCTTTGAGTTATGACTCTCCTCCGCTAATGAGATAAACAACATAACTCACTGTAGGTCCTGCTATTTCCTCTGTAAGCAAATGGTTGGAACCTTCTGTGGTTGCCCTATAAGGCACGAGAGTGCAAAGACTAAGGAGAGCAAGAAGTGTACACATGCTACCATGGGCACGGGGAGGGCTGTTGGGAGGCCATTCTCCTATACCTCGCTTCCACATTAACACATGGGAAGAGGGAGAGGGAACATTCTTTTCCATGCAGGTTGTATTACATTTGTTTATTTAATACAAATAAAAGGTTGTGTTTTGTTCCAAGTTTAGTGGCTGGCTGGCTGGCTGCTGAGACGACTTTGCAGGTGTCCGTTAGTAGAGGACTCACCTTAAGAGAATCAGAGAGGGTCCATTTGGAGGCCTGCTGGAGCCCACCTGGTGTTGGGATTGGGCTTGTGAA